CATCACCCTGGCTCTTACTTGTTCTTAGAATCAAAACCTAAACTGGAGCTGGGGTCTGACAGAGAGCACTTAGCAGCATGAAACCCTGGGCTCAATCTTTAGCATCACAGCAAACTAGATGAATGAATGCGTAAGTTAGGTTACAAGAGTGCTCCCTCATCTATGGCTTTACTTTCCAGTGAGCCACAGTGTGAAAATATCAAATGGAGCAATTCACAAGCTTTCATTTGTACACTCTTCTGAGAAGTGTGATAAGAATCTCTAGATGTCTGGCTCACATCGTCCCAGGAGGTGAATCATCCCTCCAGCACGTCCACACTGCATCCACTATCCTCGCCATTAGTCACTTTACAATCTCTTCTCTCATATCAACTGTGGTGGTATCACAGCACAGCAACCATTTCTAACCGAGTGATGAGCCCAAATGCAAGAATAGCAATGCTGGCCCTGGGATACACCAAACAGAAGCGGAAAAGTGGGCCCTTGATCTAAAAAGCTGAAAGGTCTCGATTAAATAAGGAAAGAAAAAAAAAGAATGTTGGTGTTGTTAATGACTAGAACGTATGTATATATGTATCGGAACATAGTATATATAAAGTTCAGAATGACCTATTCCCTGGGAGTCCTGGGACAGATCCTCTGTAGATAAAGTGGTATCACTGTAATGGCAGCACTGAGAAATGCATCCGTTCTTCTGTCAGTCTATCCCTCTATCTGGGATTACAGGCATGCACCCTCTACAGTTCTTGAGTTTGGTATGGCACATGGTCTCCCAGATAGTGGACATAGATAAAGTTCTAATCAGGGATTGGGCCATTTTTAGACTCTGTCCCTATAAAAAAAAACCTTCTATGGGCACTCTGGATCCTTTCCCTACTCAGGTGCTAAAGGAGCAAGAATGGTCGAGTTAGAAGAATCTCTACAGCCACCTGCAGGGCCATCACAGAACCATGCCTGCCAGCTCTGGGCCAGCTGCTGCCTCTATCTTACTACATGATACACAAACAAATTACTAGCTTTAACTAACTGTAACTTCTCAGTCATTTCTCCAGCAAGCCAGGGTTGACTTTACCCAGATAGGCAAATGCCAGCAGCCTAGAAGCTTGCGTCTTGTTTGTTAATGTGCTAGGTTAACATCAGGGTGACCACCCCAGAAGATTCAGAGGGGAGGAACTCTGAATCATAGCTGTCCCTGCCCACAGCAGCAACCCAGACATTGCATCAAATGGTAGTCACAATGCAGGTGAGAGGGACATCCCATCCTCTGCAGCACTAGTAGCTTTTGGTCTCTGGTTTTGGCTCATGACTAAGAGCCTCCCACAGCAAGGGCTTATAAGGGTCCCGGTACAGAATTAGCTTCCTGCCCTGTTTCTGACTCTGGGATTTCAGGCATGCACCACCACCTGTGATCCATACTTTCAACTGATTCGTTTTAACAGGCCTTCCTGTTGTGATTTAAAAAAAAAAGAAAAAAAAGAAAAAAAAGAAAAAAAAGAAAAAAAAAAAAAAAGCTCCCCAAAGAGACCTCGCCTCTATAAGGCCCACTGCTAAGTAAACACCATCATTCTTGGATGCTCTATCTACCTTGCATTGCATTGGCACTTTTCTAGGTAGTGTGAGCTACTTAATCAGAATCAAAATCCCATCACTTCTCCCAATACCAGTAGTATACTTATTCGGAGTACACAACTATACATCACAACTACAGAATCAGATGAACACTTACTACTCTCAAAAAGATTGTATTTTTCACATCCGGGTGCTAGTTTTTCTGTTTGTCTGCAACATTGGTAACTTCCGTCTGCCCAAAATTTAGGATGATATTTAATCATAATGTTATTGTTGTTCTTTATTTCTGTAATTCAAAGACATATGGATGGTTAGTGAAATAAAACAAACTAAAGTTCGGGTGAGTAGCTTTCCATCATTACATCTTCCTTGACCAACATGCTTTATTATGAGAATGCCATAGTGATATTACACGTTCAGTATTCAGAAAAGTTGGATGGTTTTCTTTCTTTGTCCCTTTTCACTGGTGAAACACTTGTGTGAAGAGAAGTGAATCACTGCTACTCCATGTAGTATCAATGCCTACTACCACTGTGTTCCATCACACAAAGGAGTATGGAGCAAGACAAACTGGCTGTGTAAGCCCTTCACCATGAAAATGTGATTCCATCCACACCAAGTGTCTGATGCAGGCAACTTCTTAGGAAACACAAATTCTGATATTACAAAAGTCCATGCTTTATCACCTTCAACCACGTTGTGTGATTAAATGGAAGCATGCTTTTACTGGAAGAAAGAATTCAACTAGAAAGAATAAGATTTTTAAAAAGGAAATCTGTCTTCAGTGTGTTATCCCTTAACATCACTGACTGTCCTTGGAGAGATATTCACTATAATTAATTATAAAAGCAAGAGCTATATTAGCAATATGCCTGCATTTTGTAATATCCTAAAATTATATAGAATGCATGAGTTTTTACCTTCTTTTAACTTCTTCACCCATCGGTCCCTGCTTTGTGGACTAGGTGCAAAAATATAAAGTGTGTTAGCATCATGAACAACCTAGAATAAAACAAAAGATGAAACCAGTAATGATATTTGGATACAACACTTCTGTCTAGCAGAGCCCATGATACTACAAGCATTAATACAAGATTCCTGCATGGCTGAACACAAATGCATTACTTCAGAAACCTATAGATTTCTTAGTTACAAAGGCACATCTAATTCTTAATTTCAACATCAAATGGGGTGTGTGTTTTATAAATTATTGTGGGAACTGTGTGTGTGTGTGTGCGGTGCGTGCGTGCATGTGTGTGTGTGTGTGTGTGTGTGTGTGTGTGTGTGTGTGTGTGTGTGTGTAGAGACTAGAGGACAACCCTGGGTATTGTCTCTCAAACTCCTTCTACCTAATTTATTTAGACAGGGTCTCTCAATGGCCTAGAACTTACTAAGTAGATTAGGATGGCTGGCCAAAAAGCCATGGGATCTACCTGTCTCCACCTCCCCAGTGCTGGAATCACAAGCACCATGAATAGACTTGGTGCCCTGAGGTTTATTCTAATCTGGTATTTTTCTAAATAATATTTTTGGATAAATTTCAGTATTGCTCCTGTCATTTCCTTTTGCCCCATCGATGAATGCAGTAGACAGCTTTAAGAAGCACTGAGTCTTACAGTACTAGGCTATGGCTTCATAGACATTAACTCAATCTATCAAGCAATCAGCAGTTCCACTTTATAGACAAGGAAATGAAGTCCTAGCCAAGACTCTACACTCCTGTATAACTTCAGGAGGCTCCATGCACACAGCAGGCATTATTAGTCTTATTTTATACTTTTATAATTAATAATAAACCTTGGAAATTAACCTAGGAATCCTGCTATTGTTCTAAGATGTTATCCCTAATGGTCAGTCACAAGGTAGAAACACCCTAACTGACTAATACTAATGTGTTATATTATAAACCTCACTTTACCAGGCCAATACCCATTAGACTGAAAAGTAAACCACTATCCCATTGGTCACAGTTGTTCCTGGCACATGACAAAAAAAAATGCATCAAACATGAGCATACTTCTAAAATATATCTAGAAATGGTGTATTATGAGACAGAATGTGAGAGGTGGTACCAAAGACACATGTTAACAGAGACATGGAGAGATGTTTTCATATTTGCTACATGGTTTTCACGCCTTACCCAGTTTTGCCTTTACAACCAGCTCTGTAATAATAAATAACGAATTGTAGTATACCAGGAAAGTCATCCTGAATTAGAAGACATATATGAAAAGAAAAGCTTGGGCTTGGACCATCCGGAAAATTACAGCGTTGTTATAATAATAATCTGGTTAGTGTATTAATTTATTGACTCCACAATTTAGTCTAAACACTTTACAAATGCCTCCTGGCTTAATCTGTAGGGCAGTCAGGATCTCTAGCAACTATAACTCTATCACTTTAGTAACATGGGACTTTTTTTATTTGTACAAAGATTTCTAGAAATACTGCCCTTAATCTGAGTAATAAACATCTAATTTTTGACATCTCACGAAGTTTGGTTGTCTGGGCAGATTCTAGGGTAACAGTCTCCTTCCACCTACAAACCACAGTTCATACCATGCCCTCCCCTGAAAGCCTGTAAGAGTCAGAAACCCCTTCGTCTCTCTCTCAATTCAGTGCACCACTGCACTACCTACAGTGCCCATCCTCCCTCTCTCCCTTCAGGCCCAGCCATGCTCCTAACTGTTTTCCCACATAAGTGCCTCAGCCTGTATCTCTCCTAGTTCGTCAGACTAGTCATTTCCTGCCAGCTCCTTTCAATGAACTTGCTTTTTTTCTTCCTAAAAAATGCACAATCTTGACTGTTTTTTCATTCACAAAGTGACTCTGAAGGAGTAGTTTACAACCAATGAGCATCACTTTCCTTGGTCATAAGTGGGAACAGTAGAACACACGACTGTCATGTAGTTTTATCAACATATACTGCTAGTATTAACTTTTTCATCAAAAGAAGCCCTTTCATCTCATTTCTGTTTGAAAGTTAATTATGCTTGCTACTTTCCAGCATTTCACAAGTTCACAGAAAGAATTCCAGTAGGCTTTGTTCAGTTCCAGAGCTCACTACTCTGCTGGCTGGTTAAGGTGACCCACGGGAAAGACCTGAGGTTTAGTGACTCAGGACCAATGGTAGACTACAGGGGCCAAAACCTAAACAAAATGGCTGCCAAAGACTTAAGCAGTTAATGAAGAGAGGCAAGGACTTTGAAGATGACAAAGGAGCCCCCAAATCAGCCAACAAACCGAGGACAGGAAACTGCAATGTCAAATGGGAACAGGACAAAGGTGGGCGCCATGCTGCTACAAGGCTGCCAACTCACCTGGAATGGATATTTATTTTGACAGGGAATGACACCATCATCATTCTTCACTATTTCCACACACTTGATTTTTGAAATATCAATGAATCCCTTTCTGTATTTTTTCTGTGAAAAGAAAAAAAAGAGGAGATGTATCTCAACCACAAGACATAAGAAAACTACTTAATAATTATATTTGATGATGAAGTTGTAGTCAAAAGACTACAACTTGAGAGCAGGCACAATAACACAAAGACAGCCCAGTAGGTAAAATGCTTGCCTTACAAGCATAAGGACTTGAGTCTGATGCCCCAGAAACCATGTAAAAATAGCCAGGTGCAGGTGGATGCTTGTAAGCCTGACACTTAGGAGACAGATTCCTGGGGTTCAGTGGCCAGCCAGCCTACATGGAATGACAAGTTCCAGGCCAATGTAAAAGAAAAGGCAGACAGTAATTGAGAAACAAGGCTATCTTCAGACCTACATACACATGCAGCACAATTTCTTTAACAATTATATAAATCACATTTTCCTTACCGGCTACAAATTGTTCAAAATATTAACACTGTGATAACTATAATTAAAGTCATTAGATCCTTTCATTTGTAATGATGAACTTGTTCTATCCTTGCTTCAAAAATCAAAAACAAAACCTTTGAAACAGAGACAAAGACTCCCTGTCATTGTTGTCTCCCCCTCTAGATATAACTTTTGTTCAACCTCTTGACAATGGTGCTCATTAAGAAAAAATATTAAAGACCAAACACACAGGACTCATTTACTGGGGCACTGATACACCCTCTAACCAACTGCACTTCCTCCTGTGTTCCTCCTATATGGAGGGGCCTCCCTTGAAGCATCGCAGAGTTCAGGATCATTGATGGGAAGTGGACTGCTATAAACACGTAAAACTCAGCCCAAACATTGTGTGAGAAGCTGGACTTCCCCACCATCCTCCCAGTTTCCCTGCTCACTGAAGATCTGCCAGAAGTCTATTGGGACCCACCCACACCCTTGAGCACATTAACCTCATACCTGGAGATTCATTCCAGGGAAGAATACATTAAAAAAAAAAATCCTACAAAAAAAAAAAAAAACATGTGCCAGGTATGCATGAAAAACTAACAAATACAGTATTCAGATAGAAAACATTTGCTAAAATAAAACTGATGCACTGCACACAGGAAGTTTTCCAAAGACTAAGGTTACTTTTGGGGGGATATTTATATAATAAAGAAGAGAAAGAGGGAATACAACTGTATGCCCCTGGAATCAAGCACTGAAAATTATTTTCTTTAAGCTAGACCTGATGGCACAGGCATGTTATCCAGCTACCCAGGTGGCTGAGGCAGGAGGATCAAAAGTTCAAGGACTGCTGGGGCTATATATAAGTTCAAGGAAGCTGAAGGCTAGCCTAAGCAACTAAGTGAAACCTATCTTCAAAAAAGAAAAAGAAAAAGGCATGGAGGAGGGTCATGGAGAAGGCCAGTGTAGCTCAGTAGAGTACCAGGCCTGTGGTTGAGTTCACAGTGCAAAAGTGAAAACTAAATAGTCAGAAAGAAAATGACTTCATCTGACACTCTGCAGTCTCTCCTCTGACCACAGCTGTGTTCTGTCCTCTCTACACTGTGCCCAAGAACCTCCATGACATCCTCAATGACAAGACTGTACAATCCTGCAGTGGTGGTACACACCTTTAATCCCAGCACTCAGGAGACACAGGAGGAGGAGGCAGACAGATCTCTGTGAGTTCAAGGCCAGTCTGGTCTACAGAATGAGTTCCGGGACAGCCACGCCTACATAGTGTCTTGGGGTGAGGGGAAGCCTTCACACCTGCCCCACTCAAGTCTGTCAGCAGCTTCTATCCCACTAGCCTTGTTTCCATTACCCCACTAGTATACATGTTCTGTCAGAAGTTCATTATTCACCCCTCCCTCCTCCATCCTTTTCTCCTTCCCTCTCTCCCTCCCCTGCACCTCCAGACACTCTAATCAGTCTTCGGTTGGGTCCCTGGTCCCTTGAAAATGGGCTGCAGATCACCCGTCCTCTCCACACCTAGCTGGGCCCTTGCTGCTGTTCTTCAGTCCTGTGCTTCTACTCCAGAGGCCACCAGCACTGTCAGGTCTTGCTCTCCCCTTGAGGGACAAGCTCTGACAGTTTTATCTGAAAGGTCCACAGTCGCTTCAAGGGCAGGCCCTTAGCTCCTCTGTCCTGCACCTCAGTGGCATTCTAAGACCTTACCCTTGTCTCTTCTTCTAATCCTGGTTTTTGTTTTGTTTTGTTTGGTTTGGTTTGGTTGGTTGGTTGGTTGGTTTTGGTTTTCCCAGACAGGGTTTCTTTTGAGTAGCTTTGGAACCCATCCTGGCACTCACTCTGTAGACCAGGCTGGCCTCGAACTCACAGAGATCCACCTGCCTCTGCCTCTGGAGTGCTGGAATTGAAGTCGTGTGCCACCACCACCTGGCCCTAACCATGTGTCTAAGACAAGATAAAGAGGACTCAGTAGCTGAAGACTGCAGCTAACATTTCACAGACGCATTTCAGTTCTGTGCTCATAGCAGCCTATGGGGTAGGCCTATTCTCCTCACTCTATAGGTGATGAGACAATAGCTCACTCAAGCTGAATACATACAGTCCCTGAAGAGCTTCACTGCTGCCAAAGCCCTCTGGCCCTTAGGATGCCCCAGCTGCAAGGGGTGGGAGGACTGTGGAGTCGAGTCCCAGGATAGACAGTGGGGATGTTGAGCATGGAGTTCCCTAAGGGTTCAAGTTCAAAGTCAGCCTTGTCTACATAGCTAATTCCAGGACAGCCAGGGCTACATGGAGAAACAAGTTGCTGGGCTGTTCACTTCCGGGCGTTTGCTTCTGCCTATAGACATCTAAATCAGCACCTTTCAGCCTTCCAGCCAGCCTGATACTTCATTCTTCTTCCTTCCTGTGAGAACAACTAAATGCTCAACCTACACTTCCTTCCCACCCACTCCCCTGACCACTTGCAACCTGCAACCCCCGCAGTTGTCTAGGGACAACCACAGAAAACGTCAGTGCTGACCAAGCTCAGCAGACTTGTTAGCCTGCCTCTGTTCTCTGACCATAAGAGCACCAACACTCTCTTCTCCTTTGGTGGCTCTGCCTTTGAGCCATCCTGACTGTCCCTCTCTCCTTTCCCCTTGGTTTCTCAATCCACATCTGACTTGTGCCAACAGTGGTGTCAAGAACAACAAACAAACAAAAATCACAAACTAAGAAAAGCTCGCTATCTCAGGAGTCTCCTGCAGTTACCATGTAAGACCCATTTTACAGATAACAAACCTAAGTAGCACACTCCAGCTTACCTGTGGGAGAAACTGATTCAGAAGTCACTGTGAAAGGCTACATATAAAATGCTACTGTACAGTGCTACATATGAAAAAGCTGCTAAAAGGCCTTTAGTCCCAGCCCCTGGGAGACAGAGGCAATGGATCTCTGTGAGTTCGAGGTCTACAGAGTGAGTTCCAGGACAGCCAGGTCTACACAGAGAAACCCTGTCTCAAAACAATAGAAAGATGTGCAAAGAACTGTGATTTCTATGTCAGGAGTGGAATAGCAGGAAGAGAAACCCCAGCAGAATTCATAAGCCACACAAAGAAAATCACACAACTCTCCTCGTCTGTAAAATGGAAATGAAAGCAGTATCAATCCCGTAGGCTTGGTGTGAGGGTTAAATGAGCTGATATTGCAGACGTGCTGCTTAAAGGAATGTCTGGCTCGAAGTAACAGACTTGGGATTATTTGCTAAATGAAACAGAAAAAGCAGACCAGAGTGACTAGGGCAGCATAACACAGGATGGAGAGGAGGCCTTGTGAATAACCTGCTATAGTGTCTGGTCACGCAGGGTTACCCACCCTGCTCCCAGCACCACACTCACTAACAGGTAGAAGAAACAGCAAGAGCATCATCCTGTTAACTTGTCACACGTGTTCACGGTAGAAACCTTAGAAATAGCAGAAAATCCTGTGAGCCCTCATCCCTAACCCCAAGGCAACATTGCTGCCCCCGGAGACTATTCTCCACAGCCAGCTCACCAGCCCTGCAGCAGGAAGGTGTGTTCTACTTCCAAAACACCTATCTCTAACCGCATCATCAACCTTGGGCTACTGTCAGCCAGTGTCAGAGGGGCATGACTTTAATAGTGGACTAATTTATACACACACTCTATGGAAGTCTCCTAATGTGCTAATTAGTATTTGGGCTTTTGGATCCAAAGACCTTCCGGGAACAGTCAGTGGTAGTGGAGAGACACAGATCAACACTGGGGGCCTGAGGACCTACATTCAGGTGAAGCCAGCTCTCCCAGATTCCATCACAGAAAAGAATTTCAGGATGAGCCAGGGTGAACCAAAGGTAACAGTTTGCTAAGTGGAGAGAAGGAACAATATGACCTTAAGAGATCAGAGGGGCCGGGCGTTGGTGGCACACGCCTTTAATCCCAGCACTGAGGAGGCAGAGGCAGGCAGATCTCTGTGAGTTCGAGGCCAGCCTGGTCTCCAGAGTGAGTGCTAGGATAGGCTCCAAAGCTACACAGAGAAACCCTGTCTTGAAAAACCAAAAGAGAGAGAGAGAGAGAGAGAGAGAGAGAGAGAGAGAGAGATGAGAGGGAAGGGGGGAAATGGGAAAATGTATAACTGAATGAGAGAGAGAGAGAGAGAGAGAGAGAGAGAGAGAGAGAGAGAGAGAGAGGAGAGACACAATGAGATGCACTTAAGCTTTAAGCAGAAAGAGTTGGGGAGGTACAGGAGGGAGAACACTCAATGTATCAATGTATCTGTTCAGGAAAGTTCCACAAAGGGATGCAGATTCTTGTATCCTCTTGCTGAAGAACGGTTCTCTTTTAGGCTGTCCCTTCCCCACAGCATTGCACTATTGAAGAACCTGAGGCAAGTGGAGGGTCAGGGAGGAAGGAGACAGCCAGACGGCCAGATAAAGCAAATCACCATTGGCAAGCAGCTCAGCCTTTGCAGCCAGACTGCCCTCCCACTAGACTGTGGCTCAATTAATATTGCTCAAAGCGGACGACCTACAGGGTTCAAAGATAAAATGAAGTTTTAAAGTCGGGCGGTGATGGTGCAGGCCTTTAATCCCAGCA